CCTGCACACGCACGCTCACACACCCTGCACACGCATGCCCCATACACAGTGCCTACGCACACACCCCTGCACACGCACGCTCACACACCCTGCACACGCATGCCCCATACACAGTGCCTACGCACACACCCCTGCACATGCACGCTCACATCACACACAAACACAACCAGAGAACAAGGCCAGGCAGCAGCAGGCTCCAGGCAAGGGTTGAACTCTCCCATTGGAGAGAAGCCACTTGAGGGCCTTCGTAGTGCAAGCTGGCCTCGAATTCAGCCCACCATGGTGCCCTCGGGCGGAGCGGCTGGCTCAGGGCTCTCCTCTGGGCTCTAGACATCAGTGCAGGGATGGTTCCTGGGCATCCCTACGATGCCAGGAGGAGGGGTGTTGAGCTGATCCGCCAGCTCAGATTTCAGATGCCCCAGGTACCATCCTTGAGTCATAACCTTCTGCCCCAGGCATTGTCCCTGCATCTCTGGCCATGCTCTGCCTCTCAGCGGTGCCTGGGAGTGGCTCACTGGGGGCGGGGGGCTCTCTCTGATCAGACAGTCTCAGGGGGCTGCAGCCACGGCACCCGTGGGTGGCGTTGGCAACTTGCTGCCCTCCATCCCTCCTGCCTTGCCCTGTCGAAAAGGTTATTCCCAGAGCGGGTGACTCACTCCTTCCCCTCCGGTCTATTTCCGAGCTCTTCACCTCAGCTGTTCCAATGGCTGGGACACGGGAAGGTCAAACCCCACCCGATTCACCCAGGGGAGCGGCCGGGGCGCCAGGAGCTGCAAATGGCTGTAACGCTGCCCCCACCCTCTGCAGAGAGCCCCCAACTCCACGCTTGGACACAGCCAGGGACGGTGGGGGGAGCAGCCTGGCTAACGAGTCTGAATTCCCTTGGTGGGATCCCCTCCCCCACCACACCCTCACCACTCCCCTGTGACCTTTCACCACTGGCAGGTGAGTCTTTCACCCCTGACTCCTGTGTCCCCCCCGCTCCCACCAGCATCAGCAATTTTGTGGGTGCTGACAGTTTCTCTCCTGCAAGATGCGCCCCTTGCCAGTTGCGATGAAGCAGCAGGGATCAGTAAAGCAAGGAGTTGGGGCTCCCAGGAGAACCCCCAAGTCTCTTTTCAGCTGATACACTGGGCATCTTTCCCTCCCCCCCCTCTTCCCCCACCAACGCTTAATAGCGTGGATTAAGATGTCACGGCAATGGCTCCCAGCTGGAAACCGAGATCCGACCAGAATGGCCAAAACCCCCGACACAAGAACATCCCCATGAGTGGGGGCTGGGGGGGCGGGGATGGCTGGAAACCCGCTTCAAATCCCACCTTTCTCACAGGCTACTTGGATTTGGCCCCTTCCAGAGAGGGACCTTTGAGCTAACCCAGGTCTTTGCCTTGCTTTGCCCTAGGGTGACCAGATGTCCTGATTTTATAGGGACAGTCCCGATTTTTGGGTCTTTTTCTTATATAGACTCCTATTACCCCCCACCCCCCCCGTCCCGATTTTTCACACTTGCTGTCTGGTCACCCTACTTTGCCCCAGGGGCCTGGCTCCCATAGGAGGTCTCAGCCAGCCAAATATCTCTTCCGCCTGGCCCCCTCCCACACCCCACAGACAGATGATTCTCCAGCCATGCTGGCTGTAACCAGCCCCTGGGGTATAAGAATCAGGGCTAATTCCACACGTGGTCCTAAGGAGGACACAGCCCCAGCCCCAGCTGAGCTCTGGGCTGACCTGGGACTGCAGCAGCAAAGAGCTAAGCCGAGGGACCACAAGAGCTGTGCAGTGATGAGAGGGGGGCTTACCCCGCCCCCCGGGAGAGAGCCCAGCTGTAACTGTCCCGTCTCCTGGCCCCATTGGCTCGCTGGGTAAGAAGGAAGATAAACAATTCGCTTCCCTGCGTGGGCACCAGGCCTGTGCGCAATGCTGTTTGGGTCGGGCCATGTAAGGGGAAGGAGGCTGCTATAAACCTGTCGGTTATTTATAATCCGTGGGGCTGGACTGGCTCCCAGGAGAAAGGCAGAGATGGGCTCCGTTTGCAGGCCTGGGCAACGAGCGAGGGGAAAGGGAAGCAACTGGCCCATAAGAGGACACCCAGCCCGGGCGTAGCCGGGGGGATTAGAAGAGTGAGACACCCGAACGGCACGTTCAGTGACGTGGGCAGACCTGGGACCCAGCCCGAGGGAGCGCAGGGCACGGCCGCTGCCAGGGAGACGGCTCACTCCCCCTTACGACCAGGGGATTTTACTCGCAGGCAGCTAGTGGGGTCATTAGCCTCAGTGCTGGGAGCTGGGCCTCGCTCTGGTTTCAGTCACAAGTGCAATGAGTTTGGTGGTGCTCACAGCAATGCCTATCTCTGTGTCACCACAGAGCAAAGACGGCTTCCCACGCCCCCGCCCAGCCAGCCCTGCGCTGGAGGGACCCCTTCTACGGCTCCGGGGGAGTTCCGTCTCTGTGGCCCATTCAGTCCTTGGCCTCTTTACTAAGACTGTGGGCAAACGGGGCCAATCGGTACCAACTGCGGGGTGCATTTTGTGAGGTGGATACCTGTACAGTAGGGACAAGAGCCAGGCAAGCTTTGTGATTGGTCACCTGAGTCTAGCAGTGTTGTTCCTATTCTCTGAATGGATGAGCTGGTTTTTTTACAAACTGCTTCCACCCAAGACAAAGTGAGTTTCCTGATTAATTGAATCTCAGCTCCGGGTGCAAAGTTCTCTGTTTGCAAACGGTCCCTCCGAACTCAGCACCAGCCACGCGAAGATTGGCAAGCGGCAGGTAATACAGGGCGGTGACCTGGCTGCAGCCAAACCTGGGTGTGCATGTGGCTGGAAACCAGATTCTCTCTCTCTCTCACACACACACACACACACACTAACTCGGGCCTTGTCTACACAGGGGCTTTTCTGCAGTATAGCAGCACCAGTGCAAATGTAACCCCCTGGTGAATCTGTTACATGTCCCCCCCACCCCCCGTGTCCAGTCTCCCAAGGATGAGTCCGTTACAGCCCCAGCTAGGGAATTTTAGCTCAAGCTGTAGCAGTTGGGTTCCCGAACCTCCCTGGTGTGTCAGCCAAGAGGTCAGCCACTACACAAAGCCCTAGTGTAAACAGGCCAAACTGGTTTCAAGCAGGGCTAAGAGCATCAGTGCAAACTGTAGCCTGTAGCAGCTTTGTCTGTTTGCATTAGGGGCTGGCCACCGATGGCTGAAATCCCCAGGACAGACTGGACCTGGGACCAGTGAAACTCATTCCCAAAGGTCACCAAACACCTGGGAGGGGGATGGTTGGATCCAGATTCAGTGGGGCTCTTCACAATCCCTATCTCTATTTATTATCCAGACCCAAACCTTGTCCTTCAATAATGACGTGAAACCAAAACCTGGATCCAAACTTCCCCAGCTGCTGGGGGTATTTGGATCCAGATTCACTTTGCAGGGACGGGCGAGTCTCTCCAGGATCTCGAGGGAGACAGAGTTCTGAGTTTGCTCCCCTGTGAGTTCCAGAGCTGACAACAGGCAGGCAAGGTGACCTCTGTGTGTCAGACCAGCAGCCAGAATACACCCATGTCGGGAGGCTGCCGGGACTTTCGTCAGCTCTTTAAAGGGTGAAGTTGGATCCTTGGCAGCCCTTTGTTTTGTTTTATCTTCATTTCCACTTGTGGGGTTTAAAATTAGAAAGTGAGGCTGTTTGCCCCGCACCCTGGAGACACGGGGCCTGATTCTGATCTCACCGATGCCAGTTTCACGCTGATGCTGCTCCTGATTTACCCTGGGCCGGCTGCGATCAGAATCCAGCCGGGGCGTTTGTCCCCAGCACTCCTTGCTCACCATCCGAACTGGCCTGGCGCGTAGTCCCCAGCGCAGCTCCAAAAGGCAACGAACAGCGTTTTCTTGAGCGGCTGGTTTTGCTTTGCTAGTTTAATTCTGAGCAGACCTGGTGAACTTTAGGCTCGTGAAAGGGAAGACTTAACAATAGTGGAGTCAAGCAAGTGATGGATCCCATATACAGCTGGGCCAAAGGCTTGAACTGCTAACCCACAGCCCCAGGGACCCTCCACGGCTCAGCTGGTGCCCCGTATTCCTTACCTGCAGCCCCAGGCTATTCTGGGCCTGGCTCCCCACCAACCAGAGCTCAACTCGTTCGCCTCCACCCTGACCTACAGCGCCCCCCGTGACGACTCTCTTGGGCTCCCCACACACACCACTGCCCCTCAGTCCTGTTGAGTCTATCGGGGTCCGACTTAATCTCTGAGTTAGTCTGCACTAGCGTTCTCACCTCTGAGGTAGGGCTTGAGTGTTGCCGAGAACTCCCCCCGCACACATCCAGACATCTTAGTGTAGCCCTTGGACACAACATTCAAGGGCTGCTAGTCCTCTAATGCCTTCCCGGAACCGCACCCCATGGCCTATCTGGCCATCGACCTATTCTTGGCTTGGAGGTCACCCAGTGCTGCAACAGGACTGCCCAGCACCCTGGTGCCCAGTCACACACCGACAATCAGCGTCTCCTTCTGTCTCTTTCCCGCTTCCTCCGTCCCACTCCCTCGCTCTGCCTTTCACTCGCACGCTCTGGGCCAGAGCCTCAGCTGGTGGAAATCAGCGCGGTCCATCGACTTTAGCACAGCCCCTCAGTCCTGCCCTGCCCTTGTCACTGTCTGAGCTAGCAACCTCTGCCTCCTGCTGCATGTTCCCCATGTCTCTCTTCCCACCACCCCCAGCAGGGACCCAGCCCTCCTGGCCTCTGTCGGCCTCAATTCCCAGCCTGAGACGCCCCCCGGATTCCAGTCAGGCATGAGCTTACGAGCCGGCAAAGGGCTTTTTGATCCCCGGCTGGCTGAGTGCAGTTCAGACAGGACCCCGCCGCTGCAATTCGGCAGCTACTGTGTTCCAGGACCGAGCGCCCCCGCCGTCAGCGGTCCCCTGCAGCGAGGCAGACGGGGCCTGACCCTGACCTCGCTTACCCAGCAGTAAATCAGGAGTGTCAGCAGAGTCAAACTGGCGTAGAACAGGAGCAGGCGCAGAATCAGCCCCCTGTTGCTTGCTAAGGTGAATACAGGGGGTGGCCTCTCCCTAAATACCCCTAGAACATCAAGCCCTCTGTTCCACCTTTCCCCTGCGCAAATCAGCCTTCGCCGGCAGCCAGCCGCACGGAGCCGGGCGTTTATCGCAGTCCCCGCTGCCTGAGTCATTTCAGCCTGGGCTTCGGTTTCACAACCAGCCCGGTGAGCGGGGCAGGCAGAGCAGGCTCGGGTGTGCGAAAGGTCACGGGGGCAGCAGCGGCACAGAGCCAGAGGCCTTATTCGGGGCTCATCCTGCGTGTGCTGAGCGACGGTGCACGCTGCACGGCTCGGCTCCCAGGACGCACTTCAGCACACGGGCGCCTCCCTCTATCCACCTGATGTGGGGGGTTTCCGGGGCACAATCCCCCGAAAAACCTCCCGAAAAACAGCCCTGGCAAATCAGTGCTAGTTAGGGAGTCTGGGCGGGAATTTATGGGCCACTCCGATGAGTTTGCATTTGGGGGAAGGCAGGATATGGAGCAGGTAGAGCTCTGGGGCCTGGTCCACTGACGTCAAGGCAAATCCTATCCCAGAGTAGATCAGGAGTGACTCTACGGGGCGCAGGCGCTGGCTCTGGTCCTTTCCAGCATGGCCAGTCCCTGCAGGATGTTCTCCTGAGCTTGGACCTCTCAGGGGCGCTCCAGCCTTCTGTTCACGTGGATGACTGTCTTTTGCTCTTCTGAGGCGGGTGCAGAGAGCTCCTGTAAGCTCCCCAGAACGTCGTCCCCTCCGGAGCGACGGCCTCCGACAAGAGGAAGTGCAAGGTGCTTGCATAAGGCTTTGGACTGACTCCAGGGGGTGAGGAACGGCTGGATTATCATGGAGCTGTGTATATAAACAGTGCCAGGCGGCTGTATTTTGTTCTGGGCGGAGGCTGTTTATAGTTACCACAAGCCTGGCAGGCCTGGTGTTGTGTTTGTGAAGCTCTGTGATTAGCTCAGAGGTCGCTGTGTCCTCCCCGCTCGGGGAAGGGGGAACCAGCCCAGGACGGGGTGGGGGGAACAGGACGGGATGACAGGACAGATGTAGCCAGGGAAATGACGCGTGGGGAGAGGCGAAAGCTGGTGGAGCCAGGCCGGTGGATCTTCAATTAATTAAATGAGTAGGTCAAAATGACGTCAACCCAGGGCCCCTGTAGTCCAGATATGACAATGAGACTCACAGGCCAAATGAGGCCCAATATGGTGATTAGTATTTAATGGCTGCCCTGGGGTAGTGCCTAGAGGCTCCAGTCCAGGATCGTGGCCCCGTTGTGCTAGGCGCTGTACACACACGAAGGCAGTCCCTGTAGGGTAACCAGACAGCAAATGTGACAAATCGGGACAGGTGGTGGGGCGTAATAGGAGCCTATATAAAAAAAAGACCCCAAAATCGGGACTGTCCCTATAAAATCGGGACATCTGGTCACCCTAAGTCCCTGCTTCACCTAGCTAAGACGGGGCCCATAGTCCTTTAATCTGAAGGTGCAAGCTACAGATACAGCTCTCCGGATGCACCATTCCAGCCATTCTGGGAGCTGCCGTCTCTGCCGGTAGCTCTCTGGACCATACAGTCAGCTCCATTTCATGCCACCCAGGTGCAGCCCTTGCTGTCTCAGGCAAAGCTGGGCACCTCCTGGCATAAGCCCGGTTACCAGCAAGAGCTACGTTAGCACCCGCAGCAGAGGGCTGTGTTTCTGGAGCAGATGCTTGTGCATCCTTCCCCGTATGCAGCTCCTCCATTTATGCGGCTAGCGCCCGAGTCCCTTGGGCGTTCCTGGCTGCAGGCTCAGGCTGGGTTTCTGGGACAGATCCTCCATCATGTCACAGTTGCCTTTTGCCAACTGCAGTCCAGGCTGGGAAAGGCAAAAAACCACCAAGGGCAACGGAGTCAACCTCCACGGCTGGTAAAACAGTGACGCCTAGTGGCATCCAACCGGCTGCGCATGCCCCCGTCAGGAAAAAATAAACCATCTGATTGTGAATCCCTAGCAGATCCCTTTTCACCAGCAGAGCGCAAAACCCTTCGGGGAAACTGAGGCACAGAGAGGTGACGTGCCTTGCCCGAGGCCAACCAGCAGGGCAGCAGCAGAACCAGAGTCCCAGTCCGGTGCTCTTTGCTCCAAGCCACACTAATGCTGGTGGAAAATGCTACGCTGACAGCAAACCCCTTACTCTCCACACAGCGGGTACAACCTGGGCAGCAGCTGTGCAAGGCTCAGCCCTGGGTGCATTGATGATTTAGGGAGGGCAGGACTGGGCTGCTCCTAGGTTGACCACCTGCCTGTCCCTCATTTTAGGGGACACCCTACTCTATACTTGGTGCTTAACATAGCGTATCAAGGGCTCGATGGGGCTCACTTTGTCCCCTACGTCAGCACTGGAACACAGTCCATAGGATTTTGTCCCACAAATACAATGAAGTCAAACTTTATTTGTGCGAAATACCCTAGATGGCTGGGTCATGATCAAACTTAGCTATCAAGGGAGGGACTTCTGGGTAGGGTCTTGCCAACCCTCTCTGGAGTCAGGTACAGATGCTTGAGTCCTGTACCTCACCTGGTGCATGACCCAAGAAGGGGTGGGTGGCAAAGTTACCGCATGCCACCTTCACACTGCCCATGTTCTGAGGCCAGCCAAAGACCAGTTCGGTCCATCAGGAACCCAAGAATCTGGCCTGTTAGCTTTACATGCTGCTTTAACCAACTATGAAGGGCCTGGGGCCAGTTCCCCCGCCCCCCCCCCATGTGACACAACATCTCTTAGCCACTCGAGGTACCAGCCCCTTGGCATGGCTGGAGACAGGAGTTCCTGATGAGGGGTTCTCAGCTCTGGAACTTGCGTCTCCCTGTCTGCCTGCCAGAGCTGGAACACAACTGACCTCCCAGCGGCTGCTCCTCTGTTCTCCTAGGCTCTGTCTGGGGAGCATGGGGAGAGCCTGAGCCTGGGTGGGCTGCGAAAGCTCTGTGCGTGTCTCATGAGTTGGATTTGGTGCTGTACAGTAGCAACTGTAGTGTTTCCATGGTGGCAGATGCCCACGTGGCTACAGCAGTGCACAGTTCAAAACCAGCCGTTATATAACAATCCAACGTTCTTCCGTCACCTTCCCCCAGCTTGGCAATGGAAGATGGAACTTTTCCCGATTCCTAAAATGAAGAAACCACAAGACTTTCCTCTCTCCCTCTCAGTTGTGTTCACGGCATAACCCCAGAGAAGTTAGAAAAAGACAATCAATACGAAACACTACTTTTATTCTTAGAATCAAGAACAATAACACACAGTAACCTAAATCAGAGAGAGACGAAGCAGGCTGCTCCCTCTGGGAGCGAGAGACTGCTCATGCCACCTTGTTCCAGACTGACTCTGATCACACACTTCCCTACAGAGCCCCCTAGCCTGCAAGCAGCACCAGGAACACCCCACTCCCCCATCCACACACACTCTCTTAAAGTGATAGTTTACAATTCCAATACAGTCCTCAATACACCACTCTCCCCACACACAGCTGCTCCCTCGGCCCCACTGAGTCACCTCTCTTCTCCCCCAGTTTGACTGTACACTGTTCCCACCTGGGCTCTGTGTTACTTGAATTAGACGGGCAGAAACCTCAGTGGACCTGATGTGATGGATGGCCCCAAAGCCATGTCACCCCCAAACTATCAGCCACCCAACGCATCCCTAGAGAAAAGCAGATTTAAACAGTTCCCACCCAGGCAAGTGTCATGGGTCCAGCAGCAGTGGGAGCAGGGCTTACCTGTCCAACAATAATAGCACTTCTAAACTACTTTCCATCCAGGAATCTAGGGAAGAACACTTCGGGCATGTGTAATCCAACCTCTCCCTACGGAATCCACAATCCAGCCTCTCCCTTTATGCACTTTCCCTCTTGCCTGACAGTATTTGCTACAGTGTTGCTGTGGACAGTTAAGCCAGGTTTCTCCCCAGAGGTGGTTGCATTTCAGTGCTGGTTGACTTCTATAATATCTCTCGTTTGTCAGATGTTTGGGGATCCTTTAGGAACAAAGACATAAACATACCCATTGTTCTACTGACCGGCACAAGAATTCTGCATTTGCCAATAACCCAAGAACTGCTGACCTGGGGCAAGGCACGGGCCATCTAATCCAAGCCATCACCTGGGAGGGAAGTTTATTCCTATTGTCAGCCGGCGATTAGTTTACAAAGCATGAGGATTAATAGCCCCTGTCTTGTAGGTATTACTCTTGGTCATAGAAGGGCCTGAACCATTCTTAAATTTTACCGTATTAGCCTCAATAACACCCCACAGGGGATGAGTTCTGCAGGTCAGTTATACATTGCATTAAATAAGACTGTTTCCTTTTACCCACTGCCTGGATACTCTCAATCAGTTTGCCCAAAGACACACAGGGCTAAGCCCTTCAGAAAGTGTTTGACCATGCACCAAGGAGAGCGCTGTAGGGACCTGGAACCAGACCCCCCAGCTGCAGCATTACTCTTAGCACAACTCCTAAGGTGGCATTGCTGCTGTATAGAGACTGGAGCCTTGCTCTTGAAGGACTCAGGTGCCTCCACAGACGCTCCAGTGCCCGGCTGGGATGAAGCTGAGACTCGGGCTGGAGTGCAGGACACGTCCTCCTCGCTTCCTTTGCTTTGGACAATCTGGCGGCCATAAACGGACACGTCACAGCAGAATATCACGTAAGTCTCCATCCTGGGTCTGGAGGGGAAGCGGTTGAGAGGTCGCCTGTATATTTTGCTGTCAGGCCGTGCGTTCAGCAGTTCCTTTCTCCCGCTGGAACAGTCTACGAGGAAGGTCGGGTGCG